ATGAGTTACATTTTGGGAGTATATTTAATTTTTGCTTGAATCTCTTTGCTTTTATCTCTTATCCTTAGGTATACTATCTTTTTACATTAAGGTATTAGCTTAATGAGACACAGGCAGGGTGGTGATATTGTCTGGGATGTCAGGGGCAAAATACACATGGTTACTAAAAAAGCCAGTGACAACAGTAACCTTCCATTAGAGCACAGCTGTTCCGCTGGGTGTAAGGTGGCTTCTTTCTACTCTTGTCTTTATTGCTGAACAGTCTTTGCTGCCTAACATTACAAAGGATACCCTCACAACCAGTGCCACACCTGGCCCAGGATGCAGTTTCTTTCTTAAGAATAAAAGGACAATTAATAGAAAGCCCAATTGGTCTTCCGTGAGCCTATCTTTGTTCTAAGGTGGGCAAAAGTGAGTCAGTAAAAAGAACTAAGAATAAGTAACAAATAGTTGTCCTACAAATGGAATCAATTAGAATAGATCTTGAAAAAAGACTCACTCTGCTCTGAACTGAAAATAGATATAACTAGAGCGAAGGATGGGCAAAGTGACAAATGATGACTTGTCTTCATCTGGTCACCAGCTAGGTTAGAACAGACTTGAGTGAAGGGAATTCTCCCCCCAACCCTTCATCATGACTCCATGTTCACTAATCAACTTTCTGACTAAACTTTAAATTGCTATGTGTATCTGCTGAGTTATAGATTGTATTTTGGTCCCTGATTGTATATTTTTAATGAGCACTTATTGACACTGATCTTAATGACTTTGGTCAAAATCATTCTACTCTGAAAGAGGGTAAATTGATTTGCTAAGAAATCAGATTTCCAAGCTTGTATGATCCAGGATCTGGCCCTGCTCACTAAGGGGATCCTCCTGGCGAAGGTGCCCAGCTAGGCCTTCAGAGGCTCATCTTCTTGGTAACAGTAGCTCCTCATTGGCCATTTACTAAAATTGCAACAGACAGTAACATTGCTATTGTACTCCTTTGTGCCTAGAACTTAAAAGTGCCTAAGAGTTATCTTCTAAATTAACAAATCAAAATTTACAGATGTTTCTACCTTCTATCAAAAATTAATTTATTTGAACTTGCCTTAGAATTAATTATAGTTTTGGTCCCCACCAAACTCTATACTCATTAAATCTGACACCAACCATTGTAATGTATCATGTTCTTGCATGTTCAATATAATTTAAGCAGATATTCTCTCAAAGTTGAATTCTGCTATCCGGGGAGCATATATGATTTATTACTTTATTAGTTTTGTTTCTAATTCTGTTAACCTCACCGAAAGGAGCTGTCAATTTTTTCTAGCTATCCCCCCAGAAAGCCCTTCATTTCTTGATTGTAAAAGTTACTCATCATTTCACATTTCCGTTAAGTCTCTATCGTTGCAGATGAGATTAGACCAGCTTCCTCAAAGATGCTCTTAGGTTTGTAAAATTTTCATACACACTGTGGGAAAGGAGCGTAAGAGAATTAAATCAGATAAAATATATAACTTTGGCACAATAGCTGTGACCTACTGTTAAAAATATATTAGTTGCTATTTTGTATCATAGAAGTTCGCTAACTAATATTTATAAGGGATGGGATATATTGATATTTGTTTTCTTTTCTTTATGTGTGCTGATAAATTTGAGGTTATTTTTTCCTAAATACATTTCATTAAACTCCTTCATGTTCAAGGATTTGATATAGACGTTGCAGTTAGAGCTTGTATCATGCAGCTATCTTTACAAATTATTTTAAACAAAGTTAATGTAAGATACAAACTTGTCACTGATCTCTTAGTGATCACATTTTTTTTCATAGCTTATATTTCTTTGAATCCTGGAGTTGGTTAAAGAAGCATGAGGTCAGTGAGGTTAGATGTACTTGATTTATAGAATCTAATTTATCCATGGTGAGTGGGCTATTTTTTTTAACTGCTCTTATAAAAAAAAGTCATTTTGGGCTACCTTCATTAGGCCATGCTTGTGTTAAGCATGGAACATACATTATTTTATTGTAGAAAACCAATATTATTTTCTTTCTTTTCTTTTCTTTTCTTTTTTCTTTTGTTTTTTGGAGACAGAGTCTCACTGCTACACAGTTCAGTGTGGCTTTGGTCTTACTTCATAGCCCAGGCTGGTCTCGAACTTGCAAATGATTCTCCTGCCTCAGCCCCTGAGTGCTAGAATTACAAGAGTGTGCCATCACTGGCTTTTAGGGTTTTCTATCAATTGCCCTTTCATTCCCAAGAAATCAACTACATCTTGGACCAGTTATGGCCTTGGCCTGGCCGTGAGGGTATCCATTATAACTTTCGATAGGATATTATGTTCAGCAGTGCAGGAGAAGCCACCTTGCACCCAGGAGAACAGCTGTGCTCTAAAGTAGGGTCACTATCATCACCCACTTGTGGAGTTTATGACTGGAAAACTAACTCAGTTCAAATTTCATTTCAGTATCTTCTTCTCATTTTGGTTTCATGCTGCCAATCAGGCTTTGCCAATCAGATTCTAAGATCTTGAACAAAATCTTGTTAGAATGTGAAAGCTCCTTGTATCTCCTACGGAATACTCATTACATGTAACTTGTGCAGTTTCTTTTCTGCTCTAAATACTTTGCTTCCAAAGGTAAGTCTCCTGACTTCACCACTGGGGGCTGTGCTTTTAAGAATTTGGCTTTGCTCAAATATTTGTTGATCTTCATTTGTTGTGAGAGAGGATCAGAATATATTGGGGTGGGGTTGCGGTGTAAAGTTGGTCATCTAAGGAGCTCCAAAAATCACTGTTTTGTCTGGATGTTGCCAGCCAAGAGGATTTAGCACTGCTTCCTGCACTCAAATACCCACAGGTACTGGTGAACAATGTTTCTGCCGCCCTCTTTTTGCACAAAGAGGAGAGGAAGATTCCCTTCCCCAAGGCTTTGCCTAAATCCGGCTTCTCTTGTTTCTGAAAGGGAAGCCGTGCTAATTGTTTTCAGTGTCTGCCGCAGCTTTGAGCTTTGTTCCTCTGGATTGTGTACCTACATGCTTTTCAAATGCCCAGGGGTCGCATCAAATGCGTGGAGCCACAATGGGATATTTAAGCGTTTTGAGAGGAAAGCAGTGACATTTCCCTTAGGCTGGACAGTCAGGGGCTACAGCTCATCAGCGTCAGGCCAGGCCAGTCCTTTGCAAGATGTCATTGCTTCATGAAACTGGCATTTTAGAAGTTTCTGTGATAAAAAGCAAATAACAGAGAGTTTTTTTTGTTTTTTTTGTTTTTTTTTTTTTTGCTAATGAGAAGGGGTCCAAAATGAAAGGAAGAGACAGGGAAGAAGGGAGAGAATGGGCGTTGTGTTATGCACATGTTCTAACTCCACGCGGTGAATGTAATCATGTAAGACAAACATGCACTAATAAAAATAAAAATTAAAAATCCAATCAGGAGGACAGCCACATAACGTCCAAATATACATGGTTAGGCGTACATTCTTGTGTTTTGGTATGTAAAAAAAAGCGTAATTCTAAGCGTATTCTAATTGAATATATTTGAGTGTTGGAAATGTGAAATAAAAAGGTGATTATCATAGAAAAACTAACGAGAAAGAAGCACAAGATGCCAAATGTGATTCTGATTTGAAAAATTATCTACGATGCAGTAAGTGCACACATACTAGTATCAAATATTTGTGGTATTCTAAGGCTGAAAGAAAAAATATTTTTCTTTCAGTAATATTCACTCTTCAAGTGGCTATCAAAATTGTTAAGACATAAATGCTTATTACTACTACTTAGTAAATAGAATTTCTAGCTTTTTTTTGTTGGTCCTGGGAAGTATGAAAATAATTCTTAAAATACTAAGGTTTGTATGAACAGAAAAGGTTGGGAGCTGGGCTTCAAAATACTCCTTTGTCGTTTCCCAAATCAGCTGTGGTGATAGCTTGCTGTCTCAGACTTCTGTGAAATTTTGCCCCTTTCTTCTGAAACTGCAGAAATCCTAAAAGCGGTTTCAGTGTCTGTAGCAGTTCTTCCTTTCCTCCTTTCTGTCTTCTTCCCTCTCTCTGTCCCCTCCTTCTTTCTCCCTTTCTTTCCTGCCTCCCCTTCCCGTGAAGCTAAAACCCAGCAACTCACACGCAGTCCTAGGCACACATTCCACCATGGAGCGAGGTCCCCAGCTCTTTGCAGCAATGCTAAGCTGTGGCTTTCTCAGCTTTCTTCTCCCATCTCCTTTCCATCTTTCTGAGATTGTTAAAACATTTCTGCTTCATTGATATTAAAGTCTGCTTTCCAAGGACGACAAGGATTTTTGAGGCGGGGGAAAGATGTTGGGGCACCAGGAGAAGGAATCACCGTGTCATGCTCAGCCTACCATTTTTATCACTGATGTCTTTCGGTAACATTTGTCTGAAATATATTTTAAAAATCTCTTTCTTATTTATCATCTTTACTATTTTGTTAAGTAAACCTCTGGTGATTTCTCAGCTATCTATTCTTTGTTGTTGCAATGAATCGATCATATTTGGAGGTTTTTTTGCTTAGAGATACTTGCTGCTTTACTAAAGATAGTCATTTGGAGAGAATAGATTCTCTCTCTCTCTCTCTCTCTCTCTCTCTCTCTCTCTCTCTCTCTCTCTCTCCTGCCTGCCAAGAGGACACAATTACATCATTATGTTTCCCTGAAATTTTACTTCTGTGGAAATGTTTTTCTAATTATTTTCATGATCAGCATCTTATTTTTATTCCTTTTTAAAAATTAAATGATTATGTGAAGAATTCTTTTGGTTCTTTGTCTCCCTATGGGGGACAATTACTCCTTCTGTACACTGGTAAAAAGTGGTTTCCTCATGAATTTATGTCATAGTAATTTTTACATTTTACAAGTAAGTTAAGAGCTTTCTGGTCTATTTTAGTCAACATTTGCATTCAAATACTTTTAAATATGATTCATAATCTGCTTTGAAAGTTTGGAGCTTTTATGAAGTCATCACTTTTTTTACTTGAACTTTTTATTTCTATTTATTTAATTTATTGCAATGCTGGGGATTGAACCTAAGGCCTTTAGCATACTAGGCAAACACTCTTCCACTGAGCTACATTGCAACACTAAACTGAATTTTTTAATAAAGTAGTTCCCCATTTCATATTGGGTCCATATTAGAGACTTCTGTTGGGCATTAAAAGGGAGAAAATAATTTCTCCTTTGCTTTTAAAAAAATATTTCCTAAATTTGGCTAGCACTATCTATACAGTATCAGAATTCTTGAGCCATGTTTATCTGCTTTTGTAGACTGAGATCTGTAAGAGGGTGACATGTCAATGAGTTTATATTCATGAGATACAAAATAGCTGAGTAAAAGCTTTACAGTGGCTATTGGAGCACACACAAACCCACACACACACTTTCTGTCAGGTGTGTTTGTGCACACGCGAACACATTCTGACCTACTGTTAATGAAGTCAAGTGACAAGAGCTGTGGAGGTGTGTTACCCTAGCATGTGCCACCTGGAAATCCTGCTTCATATCAGCAGCAGTGACCCTACAACTTGGGTTATCTCTGTACCTGTTCTTCATAGCAGCTCATTCTTTGTCAGGATGCTACACTGCTGAAACTTATGTCCACTGTTTCTTGCTCAGTTGCTTAGCAGTATTAGTGCTCCACTGCCTTCTAGGAAATTATGATTTTAGTTTCTCAGATGAACTTTAACAGAGAGAACCTCAAGCAAAGGGATCCCCCACACGAAGGTTTTAACAGCTGGGCAGGTTGGCAGGCAAGTTCATGGTTATTTCAGAGTCAGAAAGGCAGTGAAGATGTCATGAAAACCTGAACTTCTCCAGGTGTGAGATTAACCCTGATGCATCCTGGAAGGGGATTTGTAAGAGTGAGAGTGAAGTATACACCTTAGCTGCATGTAAGATTCTGCGTAGTGTAACCTGTGTGTCTCATTGGGTTGTTATATAAAACCATGCACCATGATTAAGTAGGCAGAATCTGGAAACGCTACACCTTAATGTGTAGTAAGTTGAAAGAATGCTTCAGTGTCTTCCGAATTTTAGCAAACTTACTACAAACCTTTGATATTAAAATTTAGTCAACCTGCAGGAATTTGTAAAAAAAAAAATACATCATAAAATTCCTTTGTATAAATTATCTTCGTAAACTTTGAACTTGCATTTGGAGTTTCCCTGAGTGTACCCCTTATTGGCAAATAATACAATAGAGAATAACAGCTTTACAAGTTTCAACGAGGAAAATTTGGAAACCTTAAAAACAGGCTGCCTGTTTATAAAATTTTTATCCTTTGTTTTCTTTATTGAAGTTTTTATTTAATTCAAAAATGACTTAGACTTCACACTAAGAAATCACTTAGTCTTTCAACCTCTTTCTTGGACAGGGTTGCTGCTTTATTGCTCCAAAACTAGAGGAGCATCTTGTTTGGTAGAAAGAATTCACAATTTGTTAGCATGATTTTGTCCATTACTACTTTAGAGATGAAAAACCTCAAAATATTTATTTAGGCAATATGTAAAATCAAGCCTTTTACCTTGTTTGTGTTGTCTGATTGCTCATACACTTATAAGCTAAAAATATAAACCAGTGAATGGTTCAAAATTTGCTAGGTCATAAGCTCCAAAACTGAGATAATAATCGTAAAGGTAAGAACAGTCTGGCAAGCTCGGGTCTATCTATCTCACTTCTTGTTTGAATATATGATTTCTTCAAGCATTGTTTAGAACTTGGAACAAAACAATTCTCAATCAAAATGTAGTTGTTACAAAGCTGATAGGCTATTTGGTAAGGCATATATATTTGGTGGTACTAGGATTGAACCCAGGGGACATCCTATCGCTGAGGTCTTTCTGTCTGTCTGACTGTCTGTCTGTCTGTCTGTCTCTGTCTCTCTCTTTTTTACTTTGAGCTTGGGTCTCACCAAATTGTTCAGGATGGCCTCAAACTTGTGGCCCTTCTACCTCAGCGTCCTGAGTAGCTGAGATTACAGGTGTGTACCACTGTGCTTAGCTGAAATTCTCCCGTTGATACGCTTTGCGGCTGTCGGCAGGTTGAGATATGCTGGAGTAAGATCCTTGCTGTGTTTGAACTTGTGAGTCATGATTTAGCAAACAGAAACAATATTTCAGTCATCACAGCACTACAAGCAATCCCTGTTTAGAGAAAATCCTGTTGCTTTATTCGGAGTTCCTTTTCCTTTTCAGAAATATAGATCTTAATAATAAAAGCAGTGAGTCAGTGCTTCCTGGCTAACTCAGTCGTAGAGAATAAGACTCTTAAAAGCAGCGAGTCAATAGCAAATCAAAGTTGATTAAGCACTTCTGTTATTTTCAAAAACGTGCATTCTGATTGGCCTTTCTGTTTGCACTTCAGCACATTTGTGTTGACACACACATGCCTTCTTCACTTCACAGATGATGTTTCTTTTTTAGTGCCTGTGATGTTTTCATTGAGTCAATGCACAATAGCAACTTCTACTGCCAACCGCTGTTTTGGAAATGAGGAAACTGAATCTCAGGAAAGGGAAGTTAAGTTACTCACGGTTATGCGTTTTTGGTTGGATACAGTAGGAACCAGTATCCTTTTCTTCTAGTTTCTAATCAGGTTCTTCTCGCTGCCTTCAAAGCTCAGTCCCACTTGATATGATTTCAAAATACCTACGTATTGCTGAAGTTTCCTTGTGAGGTCTTGATATGATTTGACCCTGGAAGGGCAAGTTGGGCTGATTTGGTTCATGAGCAAACAGTAGAAACAGGGATAAACATTGCAGAGATAAACATGTTTAATCAGAGCATGAGTATGAATACCTGTAATTGGGGCACCATTCACCACTTCTAGGAGAGGGGAAAGTGTAAGTGCAATTGCTCATGTTAGAACATGAGTGAGTTAGAACACTAGAGTGTTTAGGAAATGAACAATGTATAAGCTGTTCCTAAAGTAGTGTGACAATTCATTAGCATACTCAAAGGTTTCTAGAAGAATGCTTCAAGAAGCAAAGGCTTGTGGCATACAATCATGGAATTTACCATTTTATGGAACTTGAAGTTTTGGTGGGACATTTTATCAGGTCAATTTGGAAGGCCAATGCTTTGATCAACTATATTTCTATCTATTATTTTGTTCAATAGTCACAAGCAAAAGTACATGGGTAACACACTAATTGACTCCATACAAGCTATGCTTTAAACACCTACTCTGAAACTGGTTTACCTTTTGTTTTTTTCTGTCTCTCTCTCTTTATCGTAAATGTACATTGTGACATAGAATCTGAAAGTTTTACAAGGTTTCCAGTTATGTCAACTCGTTTCTATCCATTCAATATTTACTTGTCATTTAAGAGAATCTGTACTGCTATTCCATTTATTGCGTAAACAAGCATTTATTGCAAAGCTACGCACTTTCCTGGGTTCAAAAGAAATAGAATTTCTAACATATTCTCCGGAGTGATAGCATTTAAGAACTCAAAATGTTCACTAAGTAATGTAACTTACTTAGGTTCTTCTCTATGGGTTTGTTAGAAATGTAAGTACAAAATGACAGATGGATGGAAGATGCTCATAATATGCTATCGGTACTCAGCAATCACTGTGTGAGTATTTAGTGGATAGTTTTGTGAAGTCAGGTTCCAATCTTCATTTAGTTGTTAGAATGAATAATTCAAATTTTCACACTTTTATTTATAAAAGACCTTTTCATTAAAAAGCCCCAAATAATAGATCTAATTTCATTTTCAAATTTGTAAAACTTTGTTTATACAGATTAATTTGATACACATTATTTATGTGCTGTCTTTTAATCTACTGAAAGTTTTAATGATCTAAACTTTATGTCCTTCATCCTTGTGGGATTATTTACAGTCTTATATTCTGAATGACATAACCAGGAAACATTTGACAAAATAAGTTTTATGTGCTATTATGAAAAAGACACTTAAAGATTTAAATAAGCCTTTAAAATATTTACATTTTTAGTTCTGATATTTTGTTTTATGCTTTTTTTAAAAAAATGGGTTTTCTTTTATATTTGATGTCGGTTTCAAACTTTAGATTTATAGTTCAACACCTTGCAACAAATTTTATAAATATCAGTGGGGGATTGTTCCTGGAACATAAACACTTCTTGCTATTGAAGCACTGAAGGAAAGCAGAAGCCCTCATTAATTATGACGCACCCAGAAGAGTAAAGAGATTCTGAACTTTTTTCTTTTTTCTGGAACATCTTCCTCAATAAGAAAAATGAAATGTCATCATGGTAAGGTGAATCATAATATATGTTATGTCTTGTCTGACACTGAAAATAAATCCAACTAAGTTTGGAGAAATATTGGTGGCTTTTTCCCCCATAGAGGTTTAGAGCAGCTTTATAAATTAAACAGTATGCGTTGACAGCTCAGGGCAGAAAGTAAACTATTCAGTAGATAATCTCCATAGAAACCAAAAAAATTTAACCATCTCAATCTAAAATAGCATTTGCTACTCAGTTCTTGGATATAATAGTGACAAATCCTTCTTTACTGCAAATCAATGATTCATAGAAAAATTACTTTTAATTTGAAATGTTCGATAGAAAATAATTTAGCAGTAATACAAGTATTAACAGCCATGGGTGGAACATGATTCCACCCTTTCCACCAAACTTGTCTAATAATCCTTCTGACTTTTAGAGAAGGCCTCTTGTTTGCCAGGCATTATTCTAAGGTTTTGTATCTGTCAGCTACACTAGTGATGCCATGTGGTTATCAACTCTATTTTGCAGTTGAGGGAACTGAGGCACAGAGAAACAATGGACCTAGGTATGTGGTAAAGCTTAGACTTTGCCTGTAGGCTCTGTAGTCTATCATAGGCAACAGTCAAATTACCTGGTTTCCCTACAACACAAGCCTCCATGCATATTTGTAGCTACTGATTTGTAGACAAGGAGACAACACTGTTTTGAATAATATTTTAATGATCTGAATCCTCTTTAAGTATAATTTGACAATCATTAAGAGGTGTGTGCTCCAAGATTTACCTGCTTGAAAGTTAGCAACTGTCTGGAGATATATTTATATCATTATCTATATCTATATCTATATATTTTATTTATATATAT